GACATGACAATGACATAAGAAGATTTTCTCTTGGTTTTCCTAAGAAAATTTCCTTTTTATTTGATCTTTGCTTTGGGTGCCTAATTTAGCCCAATGTAGTATTACTTTCTAACCTTTACTTCACTATTTTTAAGTCCCAGACTAATTTTAAGTACAAAATATAATGCCTCAATTAATAACTTTTCATTTCAGTGTTAAGCTGTTATTGGCCTATCAAATTAATAATGTCGTTTTGAAACTTTTTCATAACACCTGTTTAAAAATAGACCACAGAAAATGCGACTTAAATCTTACTTTTCTTTACTCTGTAACGCGATTAGTTTTCCATCTCTTTCTTTAGCTTCAACTGGCTGACTTTAAGTTTTTAATTAACTTAAATCAATGACAGTTTGCATTGCCGATAGAAACGTTTGCGAAATGGCCAGCTAGGGACTGACCATTGTTGCTTTGAGACAATGACAAAGTAACCAGCATCCAATCGATCGGAATGGAAAGCCGCAGATATAGCCAGGGCGATTAAGTATCCCAGGCCCAAGGCGGATGGTCGATGGTCGGTGGTCGGTCAACCAGATGGCTGGACAATTGCCGCAAATCACAGTGGGACTGCCATTCGAAATATGTGTAGTTGGGTTGCCTGGGTTGTCTGGTGTTTCCGCTGAAAGTGCAGGCAATTTGAGCCAAAGAGGCGGAGATCTAATGCTGGAATAAAGTGTTGCCGGGTGAAGAATTGCTGGCTTGATTTTAATTGCCACTGACCACTGGGCACTGAGAAGCAATGAACTTGCCGCCGTAATTCGAGCCACAAACAGAAAGCCCCTTGTAATGCAAGATGGTTGTGGGAAATTCCACCGGACCAGCGAAGAACACCATTCGAGGGTGGATATGTGTACATATGTTGTGTGTGAAAGTCCAAGGCGGCGAGTGGATCAAGTTCGTATTACCATAAAATATGCAGAGACAACGCATGCGCAACACGTAACCCGATGCAGATACGTTTTAGTGGACTTGCAGATACATTTACAGATACAGATACAACTGAAAGATACTGTCCAGTTCGGCCCTGTTCAGGGTGGCCCGTTCACCTTGGAGCGCCGCATGAAAGAGTCGTTAAACATCAAGTTTTTGGGGGCTAAAAGAGTCGGAGGTCTGGTCTATATGGATCCAGGGGTATACTCTATATATGATAAATCCATTGGCCTTTGGGCCAATTTCATGCTCGCTGAGGCGCTTATTTCGACAAACTGCTCTTGTTCCTATTCCACTAATTGAGTTATGTTGCACATTTCGGCAAGTCAGCTTCATGGTTCTGCGACTGCTGCGGATATTTGCCAATTGAGTTATTGCCTTTTGGCTGTGCATTAGCGTGCGCTCACCTGCGATTTCCCAATGGAAAGTTTGGCCAACTCTTTAGACCGAGTTCTGTGCGCCAAAAACGGGTTCGACTTGGCCAACACGGTTAACGGTTTTCGTAGTGCTGTGAATCGTTTTGTCACGCCTTCGATTCGAGCCAATAGAAAAATCCCTACTCAAATGTTTGCCCAACTTTTGTGGCACTCAGTTGCAGGTGCAGCTGCTGGCATCTTTACAAGTACATGGATACATAAGATTTTAGTTCATCACCTGCTTGGGCTATAGTTTCTGTGATTTGTTACCCTTTGGATTTCCATTTATCTACGCGATAGGAAGCTGGGAGAGCCACTTTTAAGCCAATTACTCACCCGCAATTGGCAGGTGCTTTTCCATGGCCTCAAGAAAAGGAGATTTAAACGGGGTGATAAGATGCTAAATGCAAATGCAGAAGATATTCTTGCAGGTCCTAAGAAAAAATGGCTATGAAACTATCATTGGAGAAAGAATTTAGAAATTAATAACCTATTCCTAGAGAGTATTCGAATAAGTATTGTGATAAAGTTATTAGTTCTATTGATATTGTCCGTTTAACCGCCAAATTGGATTTTACTATTAAAAAAATAACCTGACAAGTATTTTTGAATTTCCCTGCTAGCTCTTTGCAAATTAAAATGAATGTTTTGCTTTATTTCCTTTGCCTTTTTAAATAAATTCCCCTGGCGTTCTCGACTTCAACAAGCTTTAAATATTTAATTTCTTTTGCATTTTAAAGGACGTTTAAATAATTCATAAAATGTCAACAATGCTAGCGGCTTTTTTTACCCGAATAATAAGTGGAATTTGTAAAATATTTGTTGTTTAATTGTCAAACTGAAACAGATTTTTATAACACGTTTTTGGAACCAATTTATAACCTATGCGAGCAATTAATTTTGCACGCTCAATTTCAGGTTTTGATTTAATTTACTACATTAGTGGAATAAAATTGCACTCTTTTCACCCCTTTAAATGTTACTTTTGCAGGCTGTTGTCAGACTGATTAAGCGATTAATATCAAACATAAATTTACAGTCACGTAACGTTTATATAATTTTTCCCATTTCCGTGCAGAGCTAAACATTTTCGAGTAATTAAATTGGTAATGTGGCCGGAGCATAAACTAACGAAATAAAAGTGAGTCTGCGGTTCTGGTTCTGGAAAGTAATCATAATCAGCCTCGTAGCCCCATTCCCCCATTTAGAGCGATATCAAATACGAGATTTGTGGGATTTTGCTCTTTCGCTCTCTCTCTCCCTCTTTCTTTTTACATCTCCGTCTCCGTCTCGTTCTTTGCTCATTTCCAATAAGCAATTCTACTTGCTTTATTGGTTTTCCTGACAAACTTGTTCGTAACTCTCGTGGAGCGGACAGGTTGCTTTTGAGGGGTGAGAACCCGGAGTCAGCATGTTTTCAAGATCAAAAAGCGAATGGCGGTGGAGGTAAAGAAATTGCACAAAAATTTACACACTCCACAACAAAAGGAACGGGAGACGGGCAGCTCTATAGAGAGGGAACTGCACAAGGGAACCTTTCACTGCAGGTACACACTGAAAAATAATTAATAAAACTAAGATGACAATTACAGCAACTGGAGGTGAGCTACCGCTTTGAAACCAGTCTTACATTAATATACATACATTAAAATCTTACAAATGGAAACTTGGTCATACCTAACTTCCATGTACATTGTACATATATGCTATGCATTTTGAAATAGTTTCAATACCTTTGAGAATTCACAAACATCTGGTTCCTATTGAAAAAACGTAAAATAATGTGTTTTCTTATTAATATACTTGAAAAAGGTCCCATTATGTTGAGAAAAACAAGGTTAAGATATTTATTCCGGATCTAGAACCTTAAATAGGATTATAGCTGAAAGTTTTCGTAAGTTTTCTATCCCCAAAAAGTTTTGCCAAGTTGGTACTTCAAAACTAGGATCCCATTAGAAACTAAAAAGTACCAGGTACACTATTTTTTCGCCGTGTCCCGATTGGAGAGGCAAGGTAGAATTAGTGATAAACATAAAGAAAGGCCGCGCAATTGAAAAGTGGCACAGATGCCAGGGCAGCGGCCCCAAAAGGCAACGGTACACGAGGCCAGGAGCGCAAAAGGGAATCCAGGAGCGGAGTTGGGGGCTCCAGCATCAGCAATCAAAAAAGGGGGCGGTTAGGGAGGAATCTCAGGAGCAGGAGCGACGCAAAAAGTGTGTGTGCGTATCAACAAAGCGGATGGTCGAGGGCTGGGCCCGGATGATGATGGGATGCCCAGGGGCGTGGGTGGTGGTGGGTGGTTTTTTGGTGGGCTGGTGGCTTTTCTCTGGGAACAGTAGCACTCGCTCTGCTTATTTCGTATATCTTTTTTTTTTTCGTTTTCAGAAATATGCGCACTCCCAAAAACTAAGGCAAAAACTTACCTGTAAAATATGAGCACGCTGCGTAGCGAGCTGTTTAATAATTTATGGTTCGTCAAAGATTTACGACCCACTGGATGTATCAAAAACTGCAATGATTCCGGTAATATTTGAATATATTTAAGAACTTTGGTAGAGCAAAAAAGAAGCACAACACTTTTAGTATTATTATTTCTCTTCTTATAAAGGAGTGGGTTGAGTTATGTTTGTGTGGCAGTGGCTGGTAAATATTGTTGATGCTGGGGACTACCACTAAGTAAACGGGGAGTACGCAGCACTGTTTTGATTGAGCGCGCGCAAAAAATTATACACAAAATCACGCACACAGCGAAATCCAGATAGAGACGCACCGATGGCTTAAAACTGTGGTCCGAGAAGAGAGCGTAGGGTGTGTGTGCGGAGGCTCTTGCTTCCAGGGCACCGACCACGATAGCTGCACTCGGCACTCGACTCGAATCGTGGCTTAAATCCCAACTCACTCGTCACTCACTCGGCACTCTGAATCGAATTGGAACGGCGACCGTCTGCTTGGAAGCGTGCTTTCGAACTGAAGCCGTTTTTCCGTTTTCGCTTTTGAGCTGCCGAGCTGCTCGCCACTGCCACAGCCACCACCAATACATGCGCGGAAAGCAGGTTGCTCCGGCTGAAAGCTCGGCTCGCCAGAAACCAGTAAAAGTCAAATTGGAAGCTTTTCACCGTTGCCAGATGGCTGGAATTAAGTGGTATCTTAACCCCATAGTGCCCTTTTACTAAAACACTGCATTTTAATTCTTGTTTCTATTATTTATAACACTTTCCTAAAAATATTTGTCTTTAATCTTTCATTTATGGATTTTTATTATACTGTAGAGTTTGAGAAAGTTGGTGATTCATATACAATTAAAATAATTCTTTACTTAACGATTTAATTATATAAAAACCTTTCCAAATTTTGTAAAATGTTCCATACTAATTCATCGGTACACCATGATACTTTTTGCGTGTAATTCAAATAACACTTTTTCAACAAGCGCATTTCGAAAGTAATTTTTAATCTTTTAAAGTATTTTTTTAAATAAATTATTCCGTTGCAGAAAATGACAACTGCTAAATCATCTATAAAAATGTTAATTTTCGGTTAGTTTTAAGGTAAACGAACCAAGCCATGAGCCTTTACTCATGCACTGCCCCAAAAATCCCTATCAAATGTTTTCCACTCAAACTTCGATCTGATTCTGAAAATGCCTATCCCCGAACCCCGTTTACCAATCGAGTTGGAGAGATAATGAATTATATGGAGGACTGCTTCGCCGGAGCTCCGCAGGAGTTTCTCATCTGCATTACCGTCCATAAAGCGGTAAAAGTAGGCTTGACCTCCGGGGAACTGTACGTGCGGATCAGCCTTGACAAAATGACCAAGAGCACTAAGTCTTTTCCGAATACCGAAAATCCCTTCTTCAATGAGGTGAGTTTCGACTGGAGACCTCCCCCCCTTCATTTTAGTTATAAATGTAATCCTCCTTTAGTACTTTGTCTTTGAGTTCCATTGCACCTTGACTGAACTCCTGCGTCTGACCATTCTTTTCGAGCTGAAGAAGCACATGACCTATAAGAAAAACGTGGTGGTGGGCGAGTTGCTGGTGGATCTGCACAGTGTGTGGAACCAGTCCAATCACGGTTACTTCAAGAAATGGGGTCGCCTGGAGGCCCCCATCGGCGAAAACCAACCCCCGGAAAACCAACCCAATGAACCTCACGGCTACCTACAACTCGATCTGGCCATCGTATCCCAGCACAGTCCGGTGAGCATTGGGCTTAGGTCTGAGGAGCAGGACATCCAGAACCTTAATAAATGGTCAGTGGATCAAGATTACGATGACATAGAAAAGTGAGTGGTAGCCAAAAAGGTATTTCTGATATTTCTATCCCTTGATTCGAATACCCCTAGAAACCTGCTGACCAATGTGAGCTCGTTTGCCCCAAGCAACATTCGCTACTTCATCGCCTTCTACCGGGGTTACTTCGTCAGGCAGAGCAACTACATGATTCAAGTATCGTTTGCCGGCTTCAATGTATATGGCGCTCGGCATTGACTTACGTTTCCATTTCTAAAGTACAGATTCCATCCTTTCAAGGGCAAAACGCCGGTGGCCAAGAATACGACGACACCAATATGGAACCACGAGGTCAACTTCGCCTGGATGTATCCCTCGGTGGCGCAACGATTCTTGATCCTTATTTTGACCCATGAGCTTCTGCAATGGAAATGTGTGGCTGAATTTGAGTTGTCTCTGGAGGAGATAGCCTTTAAGGGTGAGTCAATATGGCATAGTAAAGACAAAATTGTGGGCTTAGTATAGTAGTTTATAAAGAAGTTTCTCATGACATCGGGGTCACTAAGCTTCTGCAACAGAAATATGTTTAAAAACAATAACTGTAGGTGTTTCTGGGGTCACCAAGTCTCCCTTAGATGTTCTAAGATTAATAAAAACCCTTGAATATTTCTTGCTGGTTTTTTTGTTCTGAACACACAGGAACCCCTTCTCTTGGGCCCACCTACCTCCATCTCTACGATCCTGTCAATCCGATGATCTATGTGGGTCGCCTACTAATGGAACTTCGTTCTGAGATGCTGAAGGACGCCCAGCCCAGCCACACGTTGTCCTCGAAGACGGTCCCTGGCTTAGATGAGACCCGCTTCTGGCACGACGATGTCTACCTGGTTGAGTTTCTTCCATTATTGGGTCACCACATCCAGACCACGGCTACCGCTTACAAGATCTCCGCCAGATTAGCCGAGCACAGCTCGAATGTGTTGGAGGGTATGCTAAGGACACCTTTGGATCGCTTCCGATCCGCCATGAACTCGAAGAGTTTTTGCCGGGAGGCACCCTTCCGTTCCTGCATGTTCCGCGTCCGTTTGCCGGACAATCGAGCCAAGTATGAAAGTGATTTCTTCATGCTCGATATAGTAAACTATATGGTAGGTATGGGTATTCTTCCCTAAAACTTAGTAAAGCCCCTATTGATTGTCAGCGCTCCGAGCTGGACATCTTCAAGGTCTTCCAGTTAAAACATCCTCTCCAGGATGATGAGCAGGCAAAGTGCCTGAAGGCTATAGTGGGTAACATTTTGACTAGGATTAAGGAGGGTCTAGAAGCTCACCGTTTTGATCACGATGTGGAACCACAGCGCACCACTTGGGACATCAACCGGCAGTTGTACCTCCTACATTACTTTGCCAAGTTGCCTTCGGAGCTGCACCAGATGAAGCAGAGATTACGCATCTGCTTCCTGGAACATCTGGATGCCTCCATTGCCGAGGTGGTTAGTGAACTTCAGCGCCTGGTTTCTGAGATTGGAGCTCTTTCCAGTATGGCTCGCACACAGGATGAGTGGCCGGAAATGGTTCTCTCCCTAAGCGCAGGTGGTAAGGATCTTGGAGTTTGTCGACTAAACGCCAAGCTCTTTCTACACCTGCAAAATGGAAACTCGGATCTGCAGCAGGAGACGCTTTGCTGGCGTCTAAGGAGCTTCTCCTTTAAAGCCATCGGTTGTACGCACACCTGTCCCAATTGTGGTTGCACCACAGCCATTGTTTCTGGATGCCTTTCAATTGTAGTGGAACGGGAGCGAAAGGCGTTCCTCTCGTCAATTAGTGAGGACTGGACCAGCATCGAGGCCATGATGTGGCAGCCGAGTCTTGGACAGACGCACTTCCTCTGCCACGTGTATGTCCACCAGGCCAAAGTTCGTCCTGGTGGTGAAAAGAAAAACATCTGTGACTCACATCTGAGGATCCTGTTCGCCGACCAAGCCTGTGAAACATATACGTCTCCTGGCACCCTGTCGCCCATTTGGAATGCTGTCATCACCTTCAACCTGTTGTCACTACCAGGAGGTGTCAATCTATATTTAAAGAATCCTCCACTTCTCTCCTTGGAGTTGTACAACTCGGAACGAAGTTTACCCGATGATCTAGTGGGCATGGGAAGTGTGGCAGCTAGTGTGATTAGTGAGGAACGCGCCACTGACTCCAGTTGGGAGGAACCAGGAGGATTCGGCTGGTCCAAGAATCCAATGCAGAAGTTACAGAGATTGAAGCACATGACGCCACCTCCTCTGAAATGGGTTCCAGTTGCTAAGAAAGGATCAGTACAAGCCGAGGTCCTTATGTCCGCGGAGCTCATTGAAATCTCCATGGATCCTACAGGCCAGGATATTAAAAAGGAGCCACATCTTGCCACGGGCATTCCGGTTGCCATCCGACCCAATATGCAGAATTTTGTGTGAGTTAGGCTTAGCTTTTTGAAGGAGATACCTTATCGGAAGTTACCTTTTACAGCCTTGAGGTATTCTTCGTCGGTCTCCGTAATTACTCCAAAAGCAGCATGAGTTCGGCGGGCAAAAGGAAGATTAAGGTGATGATGGGTGATCTGGTTTTGACCAGTGGACCCTCAACGGCACGTATTCGCAATAGCATAAACTTCCTGGTGGCCTATGCTTCGGGAGTGGTGGTAAGTTAAAGCACTAGGATTTTCTCATGTAAGTTTTATTTAACATACATATCATTTACCCCACCAGAGTCTTCCCGATCAACAGGATTATTGGCCTGCAATCATAGCCACGGATGTTCTGCTTTCTGGATTCAGTAGTGAGTCCACCTTGGGAGTGGCTCTGATACCCAACTCCTCGAGTTACCTGCAACGCGACAGGACCCTTAAGTGTGTGTCCAAAAAGGAGCAGGCTAGTGGTGAGGCTTCCACTACGGTGAGCGTAGAGGATGATGATAATGAGGATGAAGAACTCGAATGGGAAGAGCAGGAGGTCAAACCCTCGAGGATCAGCCGCTGGTGGATGCAACTAATGTTCGCCTTGGGTCTCCGACCCGCTGCATATGCCAATCGTCGGACTTTGAGCATCGATTATAATCTGGATGACAGCGAAGTGTTTGAGGAGCGGGAGTTTACCTGGTGGACCAAGTTTTACAACTCGATGTACTGGAGTGCGGCGGAGACTAGCCACGAGCACAAACACCACCTGGTTATCTACCACGAGGAACTGGAAAAGCAGGCTCAGTTTGGTTACCTCCAGGATTGGGCAGTGCCCGTCCAATTAATCCATGGCGTCAAGTTCAAGAAGCATGGTCCACCCAAAGAGGATGTCTATGCCACACTTAAGCTGCAACTCAAGTTGACCCCCTGCCAGTGTCCCGTTCTCGAGGATCCCCAAGGTGGTGGCGATATGGTTCGTCCCATGGCAAACGCTATACATCCGAGGCATCAGTCTACTCTTCAGTCTCTAAGTGAGACCATAAAGCTGATAGTACGTGTTTATGTGGTGCAGGGTGTTCAAATGCGCCCTAGAGATCTAAAGGGCGACTCCGATTGTTATGTGAAGATTTTCCTGGGTGGGAATTCGGTTTCTGATAGAGCTCATTTCTCCCCCAACCATAGTAATCCTGTTTTTGGCCGCCTGTTTGAACTGGAGGCTACGCTGCCAGGAGATCATATGCTGCAAATCATGGTTTATGATCACGATAAGATCAGGGATCAGATGATAGGTCAGACTAACATCGATCTGGAGGACCGCTGGAGGTCTCGGCATCGGGCAACGGTGGGTCTGGCCAACGAGTACACACGGAGTGGCTATAACCACTGGCATGATCTAAAGTTGCCCTCGGAAATTCTTATCGATCTCTGCCAGCGACGGGGTATCCAGGCTCCCTACTATTATGGCAATGTTATTGAGGTGGACGGAATGCTTTTCGGGGATGAAACTGTAATCTCGAAGGGTAGGGTTGAACTGACTTTTATAATTAGGACCTGAGGTTTTTAGATTACTACTTTCAGATGAGGAGCTCCAAGAGCGACTTAGCTTAGCTGTGCTCAAGAACATGGACAAGTTGCCTTCCTTTGGCTACAAACTGGTACCCGAGCATGTGGAGACCCGATCCCTTTGCCGCGATGACTTCCCAAATGTCGAACAGGTAAATTAAAACATGAGTTAATTTAAGGAACATTAGTCAAATTAATATTTTGGTTAAAATGATTAACGTAGACATAATTTTTGTGGTTTACTTTTAGCTTATCTTTACTTATAACTTAGTATATCAACTTATATCCAGGGTAAACTCCAGTTGTGGATCGAGCTATTCGAGGCCAACATCTATGTGCCCAATCCCATCGATATAACGCCGGTTCCGTCCACGGATTACGAGGTGCGTGTTGTGGTCAAGAATCTGGCTGGAATCCAGTCGGGCGACAAAAACATTTTCGGCAAACTAATGAGCGACATCTACGTGATAGGGTAAGTGGGTACAACAGAGGGGGCTACTGCTTATTACCCGTGGCTTACAAGTGGATCCAAAGTAAACGATTTGCAATTACCGACGTTTTTCGAAATATTTTGCAGCTGGTGCGAGGATGAGGACAAGCGCCAATCGACCGATATCCATTACCGCTCATTTGCGGGCGATGCGGCATTTAATTGGCGCATGGTCTTCGGCATGAAGTACTCCCCCAACGAGGACCTGGTGAGCCTTGACCTTGCCTAATTGGTCAGGGTAAACAATACTCTCCCAAGCTTTTATCCCCTTATTAATTATTCTGCTGGCTCCCGTTTCCATTTATAATTTACATTTCGCAGATGGTTATACGCCGCAAAGCGGGGCTCCTAGAGGAGATGGAGTTCAAAAAGCCACCGGTTATATATCTGCAAGTTTGGGACAAGGATGTGCTGTCCAAGGATGAGTACCTGGCCGCCCTTGAGCTGAACCTATCCAATATGCACGCGCCATATCCGTTTGTCCAAATGTGCAAGCCGTATCCCAAGAATAGGAAGCGTATCAATCTATTCAAGCGCAAGGTCATCAGCGGCTGGTTTCCGCTGCAATGTAATGCACATCCTTCACAACGCTCCCAGGCCAAAGTTCAGAATGTAAGTAGTGGTGAACAAAGCTCCATTGTTATTCTTAACATCTTGGGAATTTTTCAGGGAAAAATGCAGCTGAGTATAGAAATCTGCACGGATGTGGAGGCTGCCAACCGGCCGGCGGGTCGTGGTCAGGATCCACCGATGGCCTTGGAGCCGCCTTAGTAAGCTCTCTGTATTTTTTATAACAATATCTTGATGAAAAACAAACCGTATAATATTTTTGAAAGTTTCCTCTAATGTTATTTTACATTAACCCACAGCAGACCGGACACCTCCTTTAACCCACTGACTCATCCTTGCAAATCCCTTCGGCACATCCTCTGGCCCGTTATTCGGAAATATGTCCTGTGGGGCTTGCTCATATTGATCGTTATCCTGGGACTGGTGCTCTTCTTCTCCAACCTGCCTGGCAAACTCATGGGCATTCCCCTCCAATGAGGACTTATTTGTATTTCTTTTTTTTTCTGTTTGTTTGATTGTTTCTGTTGATATTGTTCGCTAAATTGATTTTCACCTTGCAGTTTTAAAGTTTTTCAATAAATTTGTTTTACCAGCTATTGTACAAACACTTAAGGAGTAATTAATTGAAATTGCTAATGGCCATCTCCAGGGCAAATGCGGGGAAAATGCGATAATAAGTGGGACTGGGACTGGGACCAACCCCCCCTGAAACAAGTTGACCTATGTTAAGTTACTGTTAAGACATTTTTGATAAATTAATAACCCTAACCTCATAAGAAACAAAATTTTTTAATTTATATAAAAAACTGCTAGTAACAATTATGTAAAAACTTGTTTGGATATATGGTAAAAGGATCGAAAAAGCAATGTATAATAATAATACTCCTTGATTTTCAGCTGGACATTCCGTCCAAAACTGATTGGCTGTTGAGAAAACACTAGACCGCCTTTTACTTCCTTTAGAAGCCATTTAAAGCATCCAGAACTATCCCAAAGCTTCCCGTCTATTTCACCATGTGGGTGACTAAATGGCAATTCGCTCATTTGTGGATATTCATATGAACATACACTGAACAAAACCTTAAGTTTAGTCCATTGACCTTAATTTTAGGAATACCGGGTGTGCCTCCCATTAACGTTTAGGGAGAAATAGATAAAAAATGGTTTTAAGTTAGTATATCAATCAGTATGAAGTTAGATCTCTTTTAGGTCCATTCTAAATTTTCCTCTATGAACATTTTGAAGTCTATCATTTACCCCATTTAGCCCAAATTTAATTTAATTTAATTTCCTAAGCAATTTTTTTGGGTGTATGGTATCTTAATTTGTTCGATTGTGTCGAAGTGTTAATGTGTTAATGGCGGCAGATGACGAAAGGCTGCCACAGCTTATCAGGACCGCCCCGAACTGGACTGAACCGTTCCGACCGGGAAACTTGGAGGGCCCAAAGGCTGCCACATTCAGTTGGTGTCCAGCTATCGGAGCTGACGGTTCGCAAATCACTCAGCAGGAAGTTTCCTGGGACTTCTACTTAGCCCCTCCTCCGCAGTAACAATTGCCTGTCAAAGGTGCTAATTTATTTTTCTAATTAAAGTGTCTGCTGTCCATCAGAATTGTGAAAGTTTCAACATTATTTTCAAAGCTATATCCTTTGAGCTTAAACGCCTTGCCGTCGCAGGCATCGCAGAGTCCTTGTAGGGCTTCCTCCACGTCGCAGGAACGGATCGGCAGTGAAACATATGGCAAGCAGCCTTAAATGCGGTTAAACTCAGTGCGAAATTTCTCGGAAAATTCCTGCTGCTGCCGCAGTTGTGCCTGCTCCGTGTGCTCCGTTTTAGTTTTGGCGGAGATCAAAATCAAGTTCAAGTTCTTTAAATTCAAAGTCGATTGAAGATGTAAGTGAATCCTGCCAGCTGCTCACCGAGGACATACTTAAAACGCTGATCGAGTGAGGAAGGGTGCTAAAATTCGAGTATTCAACCAAAAAATCTAAGGTGAGATAGGTCATTTGAATTCTTTGCGCTTTTAAAATATATCATTTCTGTTAAAAGTTATTTAGCATGAGTAAGTTGTTAGCTATTTTTGTTATAATTGCCAGTCTATTTAAAGAAAATGGTTCTGAAACCCGTATATTCTGACCCAAAGTAACCTCTAAGGTGTCCTTTTAATTAAGGGATTTATTTACCCGACGGTCGGCTGATGTTTGCTCTAATATTTGCCCACCATCACCACTTAGCCTAATCGAAAACCTCAAATTTCGTCAACTCATCAAGCTGGCGGTGGAATAATCAGAGCTTTGTCTCACCTGAGGGGCAGTACCTTCAATTTCATTAGTAGCCTTGCGAAATCGGATCCAAAATCTTCCGATAAATATCTCTGTAATGTAATTAGAAGTTAGAAAACCGCCTAGAAATGTATGCGCATTTCGACCAGACCTTGCAGTTTGAATCCTTCGCTTGTGGAAGCCGGTTCAAAATGAGGCTGGAGGAAATAAAGTAAGTTCTGGATTTACTGGGGCTTGGCATTATGCAAATTCCCCATGACCAAGTGGCGAAAATAAACAAGCCATTAATTAGACAGTACGCATTAATGGGTTGGCGGAACGGAGTCCTGGGTTCGATTCCCTCGGGCAGTGGCTATAAAAGGGAAAATGACAAACGGCCATTGACTTGGCAGCCAGACGGGATACATATATAAAAAGTGCGTGTAAATGGGCCAGGGGTTACTTCACGGTTAGCCCTTGTTGCAGTTGCGTTTCAGTTCTAGTCCGATACGGTACTCAGTTCCCAGCTCCCAGTTCCCAGTAAATCGTCCTCGGGCTTATCTCTCCTATCTGGCGCTATCATGCGACAGGCGAGTTATCTAAATTGGTTTGCTGTCGGTTTACGCGTTTGAGAACCGTTTAGCCCAATCAATATCTAATTAGCCCACTGATTGTGCGACTCGCTGAAGTGTGATAAATTGCGAAATACAAACGAGGAACTAACCACCATGTACAGTCGCGACCAGCGGCCCTTCACGATTACAGCAGCGGCCACGGACCGACAGGCGAGCGGTACGAGCACGAGTACGAGTACAAGGATGCCCAAGCTCTACAACGGAGTCTACAGTGGCCAGTGCGGGTCGCTTTCGCCTCCCGACCTCATGGAGGCCCAGCCCAAGCTCCTACCCAAACCACGCAGCAACAGCAGTGGGAGTACTGGACGAAGCAGCAAGGTGAGTGGTAAAAATTTTGGGTGTTTATACATAAACTAGACTGAGGAAATTAAAATTATAATAAATATTATTGGAACTGGGAATAGATCTAGCTTATACATCCAATACCATAGCCTTCTTTATAAAATGATCTTAAAATTCGGCTATAATAACGTCCAATTTGATTGGTTCCAACCCATACTTTTCTTATGTATCCAAAAATAACATTGAATAATAAAATCTACTAAACCTTCAAAATAAATTGATTGAATATCCCTTTTTAAAAACAGTTTTATATCAAAAATAAAATTCTATATGATAACTAGAGATACATCTCACATTAATAATATTTTCCTAGAGTTTTCCACGCTTACTCCATACCTATAATTAGCTTTCAATTTCCACGTAGTAGTTTCAAAAGCAATTACTTTTGTATAATTACCCAAATAAGTAAACAATTTATGACTTTGTGTAACTTTTACCTAATATCGTGCACAAAATAGACGTAAATTTATTGACATCTCTTTGCAGTATTGGATATTCTCAATGATAATCGAGCGGAGCGCGGGTCCCAAGCGGATAGAAATCGATGGCGATGATGCGGACACCCCGCTGGAGGCCATCCTGCCGGCAGAGCCGCCGGCGGAGGTCTGCCTTTTGCGTGACAGCCCCTTCAGGATATTGCGGGTGAGTCGATCGGGATGGGTTAAATGCAGGTGCGGGGCAGCAATTCTCCAAAGTGAAGAGCCGAGGCAATTCCCCCAGCGAGACCTATGATAAATGCTACTCGATTGAATCTTAGCCTCGGGTTCTGAATGTTCGAGAAGGGGCTGACGAAGTTTGTAGGTTCAAGGAAGAACAATTTTTTTATATGATGGAATAAGACAACAAACTCATATACCTTTTAAAAATAATTTGTTGTGAAGACAGCTTAGCGTCCGTTATATTAGTTAGCCCATAAAAATCGTATGATAGTAACATAATGATAGAAGGCGCAACAAGTCCTTTTCACATTCAGCGCAAGCGGAAAAAGATTGAAATTGAAAGCAAAGTTGACGTGCGAAATCAACGAAAGGTCCCGAAGCATATCCTTCTGAAAGGACCTGTGCCACACGCACCCGAAGCTGCTGCCAGTTGGCTATAAAAGCAGGACTGCCTGGCCTGAGATTTCAGTCATTCAGCGACTCTTCTTGCGTGGACCTAACCTTCTTCTCCTACGGATATTTGCCCTCCAACGCGCTTACCAAAAATCAAGTTAACTTGGCTAGAAAATCAGTGGCAAAGCAATTTCATTTGTGACATTTATGGCATTCGCGTAACTCAATAACGACTTATGGAATAAAAGTGAATACAGAATTGCCAAACGTTTACACATAAAACCAAAACTAAAATGTTATACAAATAAAAAGATTAATATTTGTGTCACAGTTTTTCAAAGTGCAAAAATAAGTGAAAAGGCTTTTAAAAAAATTCTTTACATATATCAAAAATATTTACAAAATCTAAAAAGCACTATACAATTGGCCTTGAAGAAGAAAAAAATATTTTTGTTAACATTTATGAGATGTTAAATGCCCTATGCTTTTTTAACTTATGAAAAATATTTAAAATTTTAGTGTAAACACAATATCAATTAAAGAAACAAGTGCATATCGAAGCTATAAGTTAAAATAATTGAGTTTTGATAGGAACCAAAATCAAAACTAACCAAATCAGCAAATCAGAGCTTAGTTGAAGAGGAAAACCAAACGCATATCTGGAAAAACCCCAAGCAAATCAAAACTATTGTCAGAGTGAATCAACACGTAAATGCAGCAAATAAGAGTTGAAATCAAAAGGCAAACATACGCATATGGAAATCATATTGGAAAAAAGCCATAGTAAGCCCAGGCTCTCGAAACTTCGCCCTAAGTCAGTTGAGCTCTAAGGACAATAAGAGTTAATCCGCAAACTAAACACAAATGCAATTAAAATAGACGATGACATCGGGCGACAAGGAGACCCCGAAGCGAGAAAACTTCACCAGTCCGCTGCAATATTTAATGGGCGGCTGTGTCCGCGGAGCGGAAATGACTGCGATGGCGCCCCTTAATATGCCCAAAATGTGGGCCAGGATCCTGCGGATGTCCTCCTCGCCAAAGATAGAAATCGTTGACTATTTGAAGGTAAAACTACTTGCCGACCCGAAGTCATTCAATTAGCCAAGAGCGAATTACTAAATTAGCTCGCTGGGGGTTAAAAGTTGCAAGTTCCCCTTTAAAAGTGATTCACAGAAACTTTCGTTGATGGACACTTTTTCAGCAAGGGGTGTTCAATACAATCTTTGTAATATTTTTTCATCGAACAGCAAAT